TCCCTATTAAACTGTCTTTACCTCAACCCACAAGCTTCCTCACTTTTACCCTTCCAATTCTCTCTCCCATCCCACCAGCGGGGAGTGAACAAGCAGCTGCGTAGGGCTTAGGTGCCAGCTGGGGTTAAACGACGACACACGAGGTGCCCAGCATCTGAAGGCATATAAGATTTTCTTGCTATTTATGTTCCTCCTCTTGTTTTGTCTGTTGGTTTGTGCTCCTGTACTGCTGTATAGATGTGTAGAATTATGTACACTCTCCTCTCACTACTATTCATATTTCCAAGATCATCATTTTATGATAGAAAGTCCTTTACCAGCCTCACACTCTGCCACAAACCTTTTTATTTCTTTCAAGGAGAAATACCTGCTTGTGGGACTATCCCACTATGACCATTTCACCAGCTCATGCCCACTTGGACTATTTAATCAGCTACCAACAGCCAGGAAGAGGCACTTAGTGCCTACAGACAGTCACACCTTCCTTCCATCAGGCTGCCAGTGCCTGGGTTTATAAAGCAGAGGAGCAGTCACATCATGCAGATAGCACACGAGGGGCAATACACAGCAGGCTAACGGAAAAGCCAGGAAGCCAGCCCTCCTCCTGGAAATCTAGGCAGTTCAGTTTAGTTTTTGCATCTAAGGTCTTTAAGGTAACAAGTTCTTCACCCTTTTGGACCTGATTAATCCTCCTTCTCTCCTCTTCCCCATTGTTCTGATCACACAAATCAGAAAAAAATAGACTTTTTTTTTTTAAGTGACAAGCTATGGATAACCAACCTTCCGTGCAGTTTTTAAGGCAGTTTAGTTTTCAAATGTATATTCTGTAAATGTATATATGGAATTATAAGACAATATTTCAAAGCAACTAACATCCTACTCTTACCATATACTTTTCTGGTCTCCGAGCAGGAAAACAGCTGTATCCTCTAGTGTATGTACATGTCCTGCTTAGGACACACCAGCATTTGGATACAAGCTATGAAATTTTTTTAAGTTTTTCTAGTTATAATAAATAATGCGGAGATATAGTAATTAGTGAAAATATTTAGGTCAAAAGTAATAGCTCTCAAACAGCAAGTTTACAGGCCTTTGAGTGCTTTTATCAGATCAAGATGAAGCAACTCCATGCCCTCCCTGCAGCTAATTGAAGTAACCAGTTACAGCAAAACTGTTCTTACCTGAACACATCCAGCTAACATCTCATAGAGAATATGCGCACGCTTCTTCATTACTCTGACATCTACCAGAGTCGAGTCTGCACACTGACCGTTCTGAATCGGATTTATAAATCGATTTCGGAACTCCTTAATTGAACCGAGCAAATTCTCCTTAATGAAGTTAACCATGCAGTGATCTAGGACAAAAAGATCAGACTTGAGTTGTTCAAAATTGAAACTGAGGATTAATTCTAACAGAAAATAAACATGTCAGAGATAAAACTAAAAACCTTCTGCTGAGAAAAAAAAAAAAAAAAACAAGGAACCCCAATGTTTTCCAGAAAGGACATTTTAATTTGACACATACTCTAGACACAGAGGTAGCTTCTAAATTTAATGTCAGATTTAAAACTACCTCCTCATGTCGTTACACAGTCTGAAAGCTGCTGTACAGAAAAGCAATTATGTAACAAAATAATATTTGCAAAGATTTTTAAATAGATTCAAAAGCATACTAATCAGTAGGAAAAAACCCATTACAGCACAGCAAATGTTACACGCTAGTTTAGAATGAAACTCCCAAGACAGTAACATAAATCACTGTTTCATAAGTTCACTAAGAACATTGCCCTATGGTTTAAAACAATTTAAACTGACGCTGCTGCAAGACCTGGTCCGCCCATTTCTCCTCTGAACATTCTTTCCCTTCCCTTTTTGACATGCTGAGACTCCTCTGATCCTTTGGTTAGCCACATCAGGGAACTAAACTGTCAGAAAGCGATTCACTTCTGCATTGTTAATTTTCTGATACTCCCCACACATGCGCCCTGAAGAACCAGATGTACGTAAAGCCACACCAAGGGACAGGATAGGGGAGAGGCCAGATTCTCAAGAGCTTCTTTTTAATTTGGTTTAAACCATCATGGAGCCACATCTTGAGACAGTGACTTAAAATGCAAAACCAGATTGTTAGGGCTTTTTAGATATAAAAACCTAGCAAGCAGTTTCACTGTATCAAATTCTTTTCTTCTAATCGAACTAAACATTGCTGAAAGGCAAAAGTATATTCACTATAAACACTTGTTAAACCAGAGAACTACTCACATTCTATAAGATTGTTTTGCAGCGGTGTTCCTGTAAGAATTATTCTTCTCCTAGATCGAATAGAATTCATTGCCTTAGAAACAGCAGATGCTTCGTTTTTCAGTATGTGCCCTTCATCACAAACAACAAAGTCGGGGCCTAGAAAGAAATAACTTATATTAGATATCTTCCATCTTTTACAACCACAAAGAAGCTGGCAGTCTAAAAAACGTAAATTTGTTCTACTGATGTTATTAAGATGTTTGGGGTTTTTTTTTTAAACTTTTGTGTGTGTGTGTTTCGTGGTGGTTTCTTTTTAGCACCATTAACGTTCTCACCCAGCCTTTGCACAAGCATTCACAGCAGCCATTCCAGTAAACTACAGACAGTTACTTGTAAAGCCTTCATGGGAAGGATCAAATGCAGTTTTGCTATATATTGCTATAAAAATTATCTGTCCATACAGCTCGTGCGTCTACATTTCCATTCATCCTGTCAAAACTTCCTACAACTGTGCCTTAACTCCAGCTGCCATCTGCTGGTGCTTGGCCAATTCGGAAGAAAACCAAAAATCAGGCAACCAGTAATTTTTCATACAGGCAAGAGGTCAGTATCGACACAGGTAAACAGTGCAATCGAAAGGCACATCCAAATTGAATTACAGGCAAGTAAATTGTCACCTTAGAGCTGGACATCACCACAGAAGTGTCCTCAGCTTTCTTCCAGAAGATAAAACCAAGGATTCTAGGCTGCTATTTTAGGTGAGTTGCACAAGGAACGTCAAAACCACCCCACTATACGTTTCTACAGTATGCAAAGCAACTCTACTAGAATTATTAAGGGTTACAGTTTGGGGTTTAAGATAAATAATAGTAAACCTGGCAGAACAGACTTACACACCCCAACAGTATTCAGATTTGGGGCAACTTCTGAAAGCTCTTTTCTTGAAAGAAGTAAAAGATATTCTAGGATCCGAGTAGTAACTTAGAATGAATGTTTTACCACATCTAAACCTGACCTCAATTCCAGTACTATCAACCATGAAGCCAGCTGAAGTCAAGTTCACACACCTTTGAAAAATGCTACACAAAGCCATCAGCTGGGTTCATCTCTTCAGCTCCAAAAAGGCTGATATTTGAGGTGGCAAATGAGTGTTTATCAGCGTGGACAATCTAATCTTTTATAATTTACTAAGAACAATTTTCCTCAGACTAACTTTAAACTGCCTTGTAAGAAAACTAACTCTAGGACAGTGATCAACAACAGAGAATCCGTTACACCTTGGACCACTTGCATGATTTAATGCCAGTGCCAGTCATCCTAAAGGTGCCATTTCAAGTGTCAAAAAGTGATTAGAACCTTACATGCTAACAGAAAAGGAATCAAGTCTAGAAGACATTGACAATCCACATATGAATTCCAAACATATTTAGACTTGTCCAAGCCCTTATTTCTGAATTTTCACACCTGCCACAGAAAGGTTTCCCTGTGTTATTTCATGACTTTTGTACCCTCCTCAGTTTTGACAGCATGCAAAACAGTGGCTGCACACAAAGCCCTCCTTTAATTTTAGACAAGCATCTCTTAATAGCGACAGATCCTCTCTCTAGTCCTCACTGTAGTATTTCTGAAGAGCAAGGACCTTGCCAGCGAGCTGTTCACGCAGTGCACAGGACTACTGAGATGGTTTGGAGCCGTTTTCTGGAACTGAAGCATCTGCAAGGATTTGCAACATCTCCCCTCCAGATGTGACAGCTTGCACAGTAATATATCATTCTCAGAAGTAGATATGGTCTAGTACATTATGTTTACAATCAAAGTACATTAGAGAAGAAGGATAATGAAGTCTTAATGACAGATAGCGATCAAAATACTGCAAATACCCCAGAAATCAGTTTCAGTAAAGACTGTGATTCATTAACATAAAGTGGTTAGTTTAAAAAAAAGAAACAACCAAAAAAAAACCCCACCAAAACAACTCACCTCAAAACCTGTTCTTTAGAGTGAGTGATAGTAAAAACATGAAAAAACTCTCTTAGTTAAACTATTTGTGGTTTGTTTGGCAGGCATGTAGGAGTGATATCTTGAACTATCATCTTGGCTACAATTCAGTGGCAGGGAATTTCATAAATATCTGAGTTTTTTTCCTTGTTCTTAGAAAACATGAATGCAATCCATTATGGACAGAATATTTCTGAAAATATTATAAAGGAATGCAAAACTTAAAGGGACTTCAAAGGATCGTTTAGTCCGTTTTCTTCATCTGAGAGTTATGAGAAAGGGACGTGACAGCAGTAGGAAACTCCATGACCTCTCTCTCTTGCTAAAACACTGTGCAATAATACCTAATTTAAATGATCTCCGCTGCAAATCAGAATAAATTCTGCCCTTTCCTTCCTCTAACTGATGTAAAAAACAACTGATAACAGTCCTTTCAGTAACCAGCTCTTATACAGTCAAAAATTTGTCAGTTTAGTTGTCTTTTTTCTAGGCTCAAGACCCTTACTCCTTCAATCTTTCCTCAAAGATCATAGTCTTCATCATCTTATCCTTCTTGCTATACTTGTACATGTTACTATATCGATATACTTAAAAAATACTCAGTGATAAACAGATATACACACAGTTCTTTTTCTCTGCAGTGTAGCAGAACTCCAGTCTGCTTCATACAACTGCCAATTAAAGAGCTCTTTCCAAGTTAAACAGTACTGGAATTTTTATTAGTAGTAACAAGTAAAAAAAGCCCAAGTTACTGAAATGCTGCAAGCAAAGCACAACAGCGATCAATAAACCAACGAGCATTTCGGCAGTTGCACAAAGCATTATGGGAAACCATTTGTTGCTCTGCATGCATATATAATCCTGCTATTATTTCACAGAGCAGAGCTAGTTAATTAATGAAATCACTTCTCACACTACTCCTCCACCCATAAACTTTGGCTAAACCTTCCCTCTCTGGTCCCCTCTTCTGTAGCATACAGTGCAACACAAACTTCTACTATAGAATATGTCTACCCTGGCAGGATTCCTTTTAACCAGACACACGGCATTCAATTATTGCTCAAATAGCAAATTTGCAACTTTTTAAATTAAAAATGCTCCCAGAGGCAAAGGTTCTCCTATTTACAGCCACAGCAGTAAGCCAGCACGTAGCTTCATAACTCTTTTACTGGCAGTCTGCTGTATCACCAGTGCTGTGATCCACAAAGACAGCAAGAAACAAATAAGGGTCGTTGCAAGACACTTCTCATCAGTTTAGGAATCCAAGTATCTCCCAAAAACTAACACATAACAACAGATGAACGCTGCTGTCTTTTTGTCATTAGTTAAAACAGAGAAAGATTTGAAGCAACATAAAAATAATTACGGAGTTATTTCAAGGTTAGTTTTCCTAATGGCCTCATTCCATCCTACCAACCAACTAGACCAAGAATAGAATAAAACAGGGGGTTCCATGTTCATATGAAATTATTCAAAACTTACAAGGCTCAGTTTGTGAACTTGATTAAATCTACAAAACTCAATAATCTCATGGCAAACTTTGCTCTATCATGTTGTCCAAAGCTGTTTAAAGAGGTTTGGAAGTAGAACAGAACCACACCTATAAGCAGGATGAAAAAAGCCCAAGAGATTCCCAAGAGACAGGACAGGGAAGGTTACACAAGTCACTGT